ACCTTCCACTGCGACTTAGATGGATCTATTGTGGCTCATGACTAACTTACAATTCACCGTACAAGCCACGCCTTTTGATGAAGGCCATGGTCGAATTGTGTGAGACTTGTTTAAAGTCGGGTTAATCCGAAGATCTGGAACATGGTTCTTTCCTAAGTAAAGCCGGTACATAAAATTTGCTATGAAGATTCATCTTCCACACTGCAGAATCGACAGCCCGATGTTTGTTGCGGACCTATCCATCTCATGTGGTTACCTAGACAGCAGTGTCCTGTCATTAGTCCCGTTCATAGATGGGTTAGTTATAAACGCCTTCGAATGAGTTAACCCTGGGGTATCCCTCCAGTTCGTGGGTGTAGCACTTTCCATCCATTTTGAAACAATTCCTTCGGACCATTGCTGTGTCCTGGACCCCAGTTCAAAGTAACTTTGTTCCGGGCACCAAAACATTCAAGGGTATTTATATAGTTCCAACCCAACTTTGAGTTGTCAACTGTCTCGCTCCCAATTGTATAGCAATCATTTCTGCTTCGAAGATCGTAGCTCAGTAGCCCAAAAGCCTAGGTTTATTGATATAGTAACTCTTGGCCTCTGGCTGAAAACTCTCGCTTCTACTCCTGTTTCAGTTTTGAACAGCATACAACGCATAGTCCGCCTGGAAGAGGGTTTTATTTCTCCTGCTTCACACGCCTCTCTCTGGAATGAGGACGCTGTATGGCTTTTCTATGTACTGTCGGGAAACTAGCGAGTCCAAGACCATGCCGAAGATGTAATGGTTATTAATCTCACTTATTAGCCCCATCTTGTCCTATCGCAGTTCTTCGTTGCATTGACTACCCACCTTCAGGAGTCTATAGGATACCATCCTGGCCTCCCTTTGCAGCAGAACGTGGAGAGTTATTAGGTCCAGCATGGTATCCATGGCTCCAGTCGGTGTGGTTGACATTGCCCCAGTGACAGATAGCTTTTCTCGAGTGCTGTAGCCGTCTGTTAAAGTCCCTTGTCCCACCAGACGACAGAGCTGTACGTAACCATGGCTTTTACCAATGATTTGTAAATTCAGAAGATCAGTTGAGGACTGATCCCCATGTTTCGCTGCAGATCCTTCTGTGGGCCCATAGAGATAATTTGGCTTTGTTGATGATCGTCACCAGTTGTATTCTTATTGATATTTGAAATGGTATGAAGTACGAGTAGATCATTGATTTCTTTTAATTTAAAATTAAAAGTAACTAGTTTTGTATTGTTGTAATAGAAAAATAATTCAGGGGTGGACCATTATGAGTTATTGATTTTAGGAAAAAAAATTGACGTCTTCAGGAGTTTTATGTATATTATAATTTTTTCAGGTACTAATTTATTTTAAGTATCCAACAATCTCGCGAATTTTTTTGATTAAATTGTGAATTGGAAAAAGCACGCTTTTCTCATTTTATTTTCCCGTTGATTTAGTTACAAATTTCTCTCTTAATTATATTCTCCCTAAATTTTTGCAATTAGTATTCATTTCTTGCAGGTTTGGTATTGTCTATAGTTATGCCTTTTATTATATGTGCTTAAAATAACTTCCTGACACACTTGAAAAGAGGCATGAAAAACAACATAGTCCAAATTTTTATATGTTTTTCTACAACTTTACTATTTTTTATTGCAAGGACATACCTGATACTTCTGCCATTTTATATAATGTAGATATAAATAATAAAAATAGTATTGCGCTTCATCTTATTGATTACAAAATCGTCGGAAAACCCTCTTATGCCATTTTTTGTTTCAACGTTTCTACATGAAAGCAAGGAATCTGTCACTTGGGTTGGCAGTAGCGAAGAAAACACTGAAGGACGTGTTTTTTGCAAGTTCACGTCATTGTTTTACAATTAATAATTGAGATAGGGCATAAGAAAACCTCTGTTTTCTATCCTAAGTGCCTACTATATGTAGCTAGCTGTTAATGCACATGGCAGCGCCGATGAAATCTTCTACAAAGACAAATTTTATAAATTCATGATGGTCACACAGAACCCGCCCTAATACTACATCGTCCATACGGACTATACTTTATATTACCTTTACATAAACGAGAAAATCATCAAGTTTCATCTGTCATCACCTCCCGGCTTAATTATTGCCAGTTTGCTCACTAATCGAGTAATGTAGTTTACTCTCCCAGTACTATAATTGCCAACAAGTTCAAAATATATGTTACCATGGAAGTTCACTCTCTGTTCTAATTTGCATCATACGAGAACAGATCTAATTGTCGTTTAAATTGTTGGTCAAGCTGTGTAAACTAAGGGATGATTTTATTGATTATCCTAGGGATAAAAATTGTTCACCTCGAGAATTTATATTTTTGTAGTTCCTGTAAATATATTTGCTATTTCGTTGAATCCCCAGTTTTCTATTTGGCCGCTTATCCCACTTACCCATTTAACTATCAGAGTATATAAGCTCTCTTTAAGAGAGAGAAGAATCTTAGTAATAGAATTACAGTAAGTGTAATGCAAAGGTATACTACCTACGGACACTCATGAATATTTCATGTCAGACAGTTTGGAAGGAAAATACTTCAGGTATTTGCTAAGCCCTCTTTAACTAGTTGCCAAAAGATCTTAGCTACGTCACTTCGGGGTTATTTTTGTGTTCTTATTCTGAAGAAAGGTATCCAACTCACGCCACTGCTCATGGTAGTTTACCAAATTGTTTTAAAATTCTCAATTTTTAAATATTTATCAAAGAAGTTTTTTGGTACCGTTTTCACCAGTGATAATAAGTTTAAATATTTTCTATATTTTGGTCTTTGTGATAATAATAATCACCAAGTTTACAACATCCAAAGTTGTTAATCCCGCCCCTGCTAAGGATTTAACTTTGCTTATCTTCCTTTGGGGTGGATTTTACTTGGTTTACCCCATATTCGTTTGGCTCTTGAACTTTGAACTATCACCTATTACTTAGAATTATTCTTTCACAGTTGAGCCAAGAAACTAGATCATAAGATTATATTATAATTTTTTTAATTAGGTCATTGGTTTGATCTCATGGTATTGTTCTTTTGATAACCTTACACATGTATGTATGATTTGATGTACTCGATTGTCCCTACGAGAGGTTGTTCTGAAATTTTTTTTTACAAGTTGTTCATCCTTATTGAACAGGCGCTATTGGCCATCAGTATAGCTGAGCACGTCTTATTTAAAAAGAATGTTCAATTAATATTACCAATTTTCTCATTCTTGTTTTAATTACCTTGTCCTCCTCCTAAAACTACATCGTAAAAAGCAATCGTGAAAAGCGACTAACTTATAATCGTAAAGAAATTTTAATAAAATACGTCGTCTGATTTACATAAGGGTGAGCTATCTATATAATTATATATCATTGGATCTTTCCCTTCTAGTACACAAGCAACATCACAATTTCATACATTTTGGGGACACTTTTTGAGATAAATAACCAGAGATTGTCCTCCTTTCCTCTACTCTTCATAGTACTAACCTTTTACATTTAAGTTTTAAACATTTTTTTGGAGATGCCTCAATATTGTGTAACCTGTCACTTATTTTTAAGGCCAGATGATGGTCTAAGGCCGAAAACAGTTGTCATATAACTTTGTTAACAGAACATTTATTGGTATGTGATTGATTTTGAGTTGTCTTACTTTCTTAGGGTGAGATTACAGAACGTCTGCAACTTTACAGATCTGCAAATATGGCGGCAACTTTGAAAATCTGTAAATATAACTGACTTACACATGCAAGTATCAAGTTTTCGTATTCCAAATTTGGGTTTAGTGTTGTTGGGGGTAATAAACCACAATAAATATTGCGAATTTGCAGATATTTTTTGGAATACTGCATTTGTAAGTCCGCCATATTTGCAGATCTGCAAAGTTGCAGACGTTCTGTAATCTCACCCTTAATTTTTCTTTTATTTTGTTTTGTTTTTTTGCACTTTTGTTACAGTAGGTGATAGCTTGCGTAGTAGAAAGCTGCTGATTAATACATTTAGTGGCACTTGTGGGACGTACCAGTTATTACAACGTGTAATAGTGTGGTATATTTTCAAGAAAAATCCAACAATAACTCGAAGACATCTTAGGTAGCAACTCCTTCAGTTGTATTATAGTGCAATACTTCATAAAATCTATTGTCTCGAATTCAATATTAATTTCGATTCATTAAGGTGTCATATATGCAAACAATGTTAACGATTTATTGTTTATATATTACAGATAGAAAAATACTAACAGTCCCAATACTGAACCTTATGGAACTTCGATATATTAAGATTGTTTTAAACTCTATTTTAATGATATTTCTAAATGATTATGGAAGTTGGTAAGTTTAAAATTTCGTTGACAAAATTTAAAAGTTAAAGTTATTTGCTAGGATATATTTTAATAGGTCGATGTTAATGCCATGTTCCTTATTATATATATTTTAACGCATTTATTATCTCCAAAAAGTTATTTTCTATTCTGAACCGTATTTTGTCAATAATAAAAATAATCTTAGGTTATGGAGAAAGATTTCATATATTTTTGAAGTGTCCAAATCGGATACAAGAAATTGCATTTAAAGTGCATCCGTATGATGCAAGGGTTGAAAATGAACTGAACCATCCAGGTGAATCAGGTGTCATTCTATAAATAACACTCAAAATCAAGAGGTCGCTAACCTAGGTTGTCCTGAAAATTGACATTTGCTGTCATCAATCCCCAAATTTATCTTCTAAAGCATTATCCAAAAACACAAATATTGTTAGAAATTTATCTCACTTATAGTTTAAATGATTTTGGTACTTGCAGCTGATTTTTAAAGTAAAAAACCTCAAATGCCAGCTGTAAATATTGATCCAGATTCAAGAAAAAATTCAGCGTGAGTTATCGTAACTGAAAGGTCGTGTCATACTTAATTAATAATAATAACAATAACAAAGGAAACGATAATGCAATCGCTGATTGCGATCCCAGTCAAAATAATTAATATTAAATTTACCTGTAACGCTTAGCAACGACATCATGCGGTCCTGGTTCCTTTAAGGCCGCGGATATTATCCTTGCCACTTTCCACACTACACCAACTATATTTTTTCCAGCGAATTTCCACTCCAAAGCATTTTTAACGCGGAAATTGTCACGGAAATCGGTAAAATTCGTAAGGGTTCATATCGGGACGAAGTTCTACTAGTCACTACTTGGACGTTGTGGACCCGGTGTTGACGCCATAACTTTGATAACGTTATCCTGCGGGACATGCGCCCTCGACGTCGGTCGACGACGTCGGTGACGGTTGGAGGGGGCGGTGGGAAACGGAGGCGGCTGAAAACCGAGAAAAAAGAAGAGATTTGACCTAGCGAGTAGGTCTCTTAGACTAGGTCGGAATTGGGACAGTCGGGAAATATCACTGAGTAGGTTCCTATTACAGGATATCCGATTATATTATTCCAGTCACGTCATCACGTAATTCTAATTATTGATATAATATGTTTTTTTTATTAAGACATGCATTTGTCTCTTTACAGTGTTGTTTACATTGCAGGGTAAATATTGTTCAGCTTATTATATTCTAACCTACTAACTTTTCGGTCATAAAATCAGCCGGCCGGGCCGGCGGTATGTACACTGTACAGGTCCGTCGTTATAATAAAAAATTAAATTTCGAATTTATTTTACATTGTTATATTATATATGTTTGTAGCAAGTCTTAAGAATTACAATATACGAGGTTAGATCGAAATGTTTCTATAATTAATCCGAAAATAGCGCTAAGGGCGTGTTGATCGCTGTTTTTTGAAAGCGCCATTGCTCGTACTGTTCTGTGAAATTTATACTGAACAGATTATACATAAACACGCCATTACTCGATCTAAGTAACCAATTCGTTCATTTCATAACCATGGATAAAAACTAGTTTCATGCGGTATAGATAAAGATTATTCGAAGTGGTTATTCTATAAAAAACTAAAAAACAATTATAGCAATTCTAATGCACAAAAAAAGAGAAATGCGTATGAATATTTTCTGGTTAATTAAATAAATAAATAAATAAATAAATAAAATAAAAATAAATCTATTTTGAGTATATTTCGAATGTAATGAAAAAGGCATTACAAAAATTGGCCATTCATTAACACTGAGGGATTTGAATATTTTTTTAGTTCGAAAAAAGTAGTGTTTTTCTAAAATCAGTACCTCGTCTAATTTTTTTTTATATATACATAACAGGGTGATGAGCAAAAAGTTTAAGGGTTGATTCTACTGGAAAAAATTATACTAAAATTTATATAGGCGTTTTTTTGAAAACTCAGAAAAAGCGAAATTACAGGGTGTCAAAATAAATATATTTTTATGATTTTTCATAATAACTTTTTTTCTAGTTTGCCGATTGACATTAAATTTGGTACACTTATTAGTAATATTGTTTGGACCGAATTTGACATAAATACCTTAATGCCATAATGTCTTAGCAGCCTACAACCTTAAGAAAATATCCTTAAACTTTTTTGCTTGTTTGGGTTCGTTATCAATAAAGACCCCCTTTTTTCCCCCTCAATGAATTAGATGTCACTGCAAATAGAATTCGAAAAATCTGATACATTTAAGGAATCTGGTAAATTTTTTAGACAAATCTGGTACATAACAAAAACATATTCTGGCAACACTGTACCAAATAAAACAAACTATCATTTGGTTTGCCGTTATTATGAAACGGTTTTAATAAAATTAAGATTATTTTATTATTTGTGATCATTTAAACAAATGTGTTTAATTGAGAAATGCAACTTTAATAAATTGGAAAGATGTATGTCAATTTAACGATTATTCCCGAAAAAGGCAAGGTAAATAAAAACTTTTTAAGGTTATGTTGTTTACATATAATAAAATTTTACGACTGTAATTTGTTTTATATTTTGTTTCAGTGCCTAAGACCATCTAAAGACTAATTCAAAATGGTCTGTTTTGTACCCAATTGTAAATACTAAGAAGTAAGCAAAAAATTTGTAATTTTTTTTTCCACAAAACCCGCTAAAAGGAAAAATTTTATTGACATCATTATGGAAATGGAAATTTACGATAAAAATTTGATAAAGATAAAGAGACAAATGGTTTTTCACTTTAAAAGTCTTAATCAGAAAAAAGGATCAACCAGTTAATTTAATATACTCGATGATAAATTTTACCTAAGAAATGGTATGTACATTTAAATAGTTTACCTATAATTATCAATCGTTTTACCCTCTAACCAAGATCGTTTGTTGCATACAAACCAGAAATCTTTTATTTTAATGACATTTTTTTATTGCCTTGTTTGTATAATTTAGTATTTTTAAAAATATTAGATGTTATGGTAATTTAAATCACTACAGGTATTAAATAAAAATAAGGCTATTGGTAAATTAGTTTACAGTTGGTAATAAAGAATGTCCCGAAAAAAGTCTCGAAATAAGTATCAAACACAAATTGTGAATTTGATTAGGTACTTAACAAGTCACATCCCACATATCTATATGCTCTGGCTAATCAATCCTATAAGTACATTATCAAAACCTTAATATACTATCTACAATTAAACAATAATTTGAAAATACAGATGAAGCCGATTTACCTATTTAAACAAAATTACTATTATTCCATTATTTATTAAAACACATTATTTCTTAGTAAACTTGGACATGCAAAAGCAGCCATGAAGGTAGGACATTAGTGAGAGCAAGAATACTTTGGAATGTGCTGTGAAATACACTTAGAAAGGGCCATATGGAGAATTAAGTGTGATAACATTTTACGATATGTAATCTCACTAGTTTAGTTCACAAATTTCTGTGTTCTGTATTCAATTATGTGCTGCTACTTCAAACTTTTAGTATCCTTTGATATAAAAGAAGTTGTTAATTATTGTTGACCTTTTTAAATTGTTTATTTTACCTCATACATTTTTTTCTACTCTTCATACAATATTCTGTGAAGAGTATTATAGGTTTACTTTGTCTGTCTGTTCGATGTCACGTTTTTTGTCTGCACGAGTCAAAAACGAGAAATGATATCAACTTGAAAATTTTAAGCAAAAATCAAGCTTTATAAGGGAACAAAGCCGTTTGATTTTTAACAAATCTGAATAAAAATAGGGGTTAAGATGGGTTGAAATTAAAAAAAATCTTAAATTAAAAACGAAAAGCGATATTATGATCAACATTAAATTTTTAGTAAAAATGAAGCTTTATAAGAAGATAAAGCCTATTGATACTGAAAAAATATAAATATATTAAGGAGTTAAGAGGAGTTAAAATTAAAAAAAAAATCCCAACTGAAAAACGAAAATTGATATAAACTTGAAATATTTTTAGCAAACATTAATCTCTAAAAGGAGAAGAAGCCCTATAATTATAAAAAAAATCTGATAAAATATGGGGGATTTAAGGGAGGTTGAAATTAAAAAAAAAAAATCAAAAATGAAAAGCGATATCAACATTAAATTTTTAGTAAAAATCAAGATCTATAAGGGGTTGAGGACTATTGATTGTGAAAACAATCTGTTTGAAAATGGGGGTTAAGGGGCTCTGTTAAACTGCGAAGAGTATCATTTAGAATGCCAGGCATTATATATCTTTATTCTAGTTTGTGTCTGTGTAATATTAGGTATTGTAATGGGACTGATCTTATAAAATAAACATTTAAAACATTTTAGTTCTTATTTTATTTGCCAATAAAAAGTATTTAAAAAATATATTTTTTATTTGACATCTGTGACAAATTGTGAAAATGATTAAACTTACAATAAAAACTAAAAAATGGTAGGTAAAGTTTCATATAAAATTTTTTACAAAAAAATCAATGTCAAGCTTTCTACATAACCTGATATATATATTTAAAAATAATTTCAAATTATGAAGAAAAGTCAGTTTACTAACTAATAATGTTTATAGATGGTTTTCAACGTATTTAAAACAAAACAAATATTACACTAACTAAAATATTCATTTATTAATAGTTGTAGTGCTTGAAAACAGTATGATGTTGATAATAATAACTACACTTAATACAAACTCAAATAATAAAAAAAATAGCGATATTGACTCTTCTACCAAGTTTTGATCTGAACTTACAAATGATTAAATTATTGGAAAAAGTGAACACCCATTTTAAATTACCACCAGCCGCCACTGATTGGCATCAGTTTGAATAGTGAAGCATTTCCGAATAGTAGGATAGAGGGATTAATATTTGGGATTTATTTACTTCTTCTGTAGCCTGTCAAAGAGTGAATCTATTCTCGTTATAAATGATAATAATAATAATTCACGAGTGGAACTTTCTGCTAGGCTAGCTGACTGTGCAGTATGCTGCGCAATTTGTGATGGATTCATAATTAGTTGTGACATTTGCTCCTGTGAGTTTGTTACCTGAGAATATGTTATTTCGTTTTTGGCATTAGGAAAAGCATTTATAATAAATAATGATAATCATAATTGGTACGATGGTTCGAGGAAAAAATTTTATTATTAATAACGAAAAAACCGTATCTATTTATTTTACTACGAGAGTAAATTATATTTTTGAGCCACTTAATGAGAATAGGTGATACAGTGATAAATCAATTCATGAAGTTGGTAAATTCATATTCATTTTACGCTTTCTATGCTTAAGAATATTACTAATAAATTTATCTTGTTAACATTATTATTATTATTATGCACACTGTTATTGTCTTATATTTGATTAAATTTTTTTTTTTTTGGGAAAATCTACTCATGTTCTGAGAGTTTTTAGACTGCAAAAAAATTTATATTATTGTAGTACGTTCTAAAATAGTAAAAAATCGCAAATATTCTATAAATAAACGCTTCAAAGTCAAACGACGTCATATATGATGCTACTGTACCCTTTATTATTTATCATGCCATCAAAAGTGTTTGCTTGGTCTTAGTATCCCTATTCTTAGCAAAAAAATATTAAATATATTTTGTTATCGTATTGCTTGTTTTGGTATGTTGTATTTGCTTATTTTTTATAGCTTTTAAACGAACGGTTTCCTATGTTAATCCAATGATATGTACATTCCGATTACACTAATAAAACCGTATTATTTCTCCTGATAAAACACTAGAAGTGCTTCTTAACTCCGTTATTATAAAATCTAAACATATAAAGTTGCACATTCAAATAACGTTTGTTACCTTGTAAATTTAAATCA